TGTGCATTCATATATTGATGTCTTTTCTTTTTTTGTTTAGAAAGGACAATTTGTCCTTATTTACAGGAGATCCTGTGTGTAGAAGAGCCATATCTAATGCACATCCAAAGCACTACATGGAGGGTATACACAGGACCCCTCATTATCAGTTTTTAATTGAAGTACCTACTTTGTTTTCTCTCATGTAGGATGATGCTTCTCTACAGTGGATGATGAAGGCATGCTGGTTACAAACTCAGGAGAGGAGAACAGACATTGACGGGATCATATCTAGAGATGCGGGCCTACTACACTTTATACGAGCAAGTGTGCTAATATAAATGAAGGTAAAGGCCAAATAAACTTTTGTGGAACACATGTCATGCAGAAAATAATAGATCTGACAAAGATATTTTTCATTGTCAGTTGACTTGTAAAAGAATACTTGACTGAATATCACAATGTTATTTAGATTAAAAATTAAAATGTCAATAAAGATGAAATATAAGTCTACTACTATGTTTCAGTAGCATTATTTCCAGTACATTCTCTGGTCCAAGTTATTTGGTCATTTTATGTCCTATACTTTACCGAGTATTATTCAATTATGAGAACGAGTTTACATCACAAGTACATTGTATTACTTATTTCATACCTTGTCTGATCCAAGCTCCAGCAGGCCTATCGTAATAATCCAAAATATGGTCAGTAGCTAGTCTCGTACGAAAAATAGTTTCGGTTTGCCCACTAGAACCCCAAGTGAATTTCAGTCCTTCCTTTTTCTGAGCAGGTATCGGGGTGTATGTTTTTAGTCATCGTTGATTTTCTTATATCTTATTTCATTTTTCCATTCAACAGACTTATACATGTTTATGTATATATAATTCATTTACCTCTATGGACTTCTGTATGGGAAGTTTTGTAGATTATTACATTATTGCTGCTTCAAGTATTGTATATAAGAAGGTTTGAAAGACAACCCTCTAAATGCATTAAATATGGAAACTGCTAATCATCATTGCCTTTCGTATCCAAACTGCTAATTTTAATAGAATCATGTTTCGATGCTTCCTAACTTAAGAAAACGGGGAGGGGCGGGGGGGGGGGGGGGCTTGCTATCCTCTTCCTGGTGCTGTTACTACATGGACTATGTTATGGGTTGCAAAAGTGTATAAATATGAATCTATGTTTATATATTAGAAGGACTTAGAAAGTGAAAAGTTTTGAATTATAGCATTAATGTTGGTAAAAGTAATGGCAGCTTTGACATTAACGGTATACCAATGTAAAATTAATAGGGGGGGGGGGGCAAACCAATTAAAAATTTCCAGTGTTAAATTCAATTGTCTTTACAAAAATTATGTCAAGATATTGAAATTAAGCAATGGTTCACTTTCCTTTTCCAAGTTAGAAAATGTAAATAAAATACTTTCCGGTTTCTATAGTCTCTACATTAAACATTTTCTACTTCTAGCAAAGCTCCCACAAAGGCTGCAAAAAGGGAGAGTGAAGAGAATCCAATTGAAATGTGGACAGTAATGGAGTGAATATGGAATGGTTGATCGTAGTTAATAACGAGTGAATGCAAATAAGTGGTAACAAGTGCGACTGTAAGTGAGACAGAAAGCAATTGCAACAGGTTGTTCAGTCAAGAGAACAAACCTTGCAGAAGAAAATTTTCGAAGAGAAAGAGAGAAAAGGAGCACATTAAAAAAGGAAAAGGGGCACCAATCAGTAGCAAAAAGGTACTTACAAGAAAGGAAAAGGAGGCATGTGTCAAAGGGGCATTTATGAGAAAGGGAAGGGGCTCTTATTAAAAGGGAAAGGGGCAAATATCAAATGGTGAAAGGGCACTTGTTAGAAAGTATAAGGGGACGCGTGTCAAAGTAAAAAATAAAAAGGGCTTTTATCAGATATCACAAGGGGCACTTATGAAAATGGAATAGTGGCACTTATTATAAAGTAAAAGGGGCATTTGTTGAAGAAAAAAGGGCACCTGTCAGATTTGAACAGGGGTAAATATCGCAGGTAGTAAGGGGGCGTTTATAAAGTATGTGAAAGAATGTGTTTTTCTCTCGAGTTTATCTCATCATGCGTGGGATCTGTGGGTGCTGGGGTTCCTGAAGCAACCCTATACATGGATTTTCTTCAGTGGTTGCATATAACCCAAGGATATTTTTGTAAACCTTTAAATGATGAATTATCATCGATTCCCCCCCCCTCATTTTTTGTCAGCTCGTGACAAAAATACAATCCAGATGAAATACGTCATAGGAGAAATCATTTCTTCAAAGTATATGAGTAGGGAAATAAAAAATGTAAAAAAAGAAACCAAAGAGAACTTTTAAGATTGAAGAAGAAAAAAGAAAAAGAGAAAGGAAAGAAATAGGCCTATTTTCTTGGTCCTTTTCATTTAAATTTTTCTTGCAATTTATTTATTTCTATAATCTTCAGCATTCTCCACTTGCATCTCTCTCTCTCTCTCTCTCTCTGTTATGGGATAAAAAATGTATCGGTAACGTGTAAGTAAGTTTCAAGGACAATGAAAGTTGTTTTGTGTTTAAAAGAGAAAATATATCATTTGATTTTCAGTCCTTGATTTAACATTCACAATTTACAGAAAGCTCTTTGAAACTTAAAATAGGGCACAATCACATGAAAATAGGAAATAAAACTAAAAGTAAAAAATAGCAAAAACACATTATTTTTCCAGAACACATTTTGACTAGGGAAATGTTGTTTCCACAGCGTTTTGGGATAATCTAATCTCACAAATAATGATAGCATTCAAGAGAGTGCGTTTCTATCTACTAGTGGGTGGTTTTAAAGTTTTTAATTTAGGCACAGACCTTGGAGTAATAGTTTAATGGATTTTTCTGACATTTTGTATAGAACTCCTATATGTTTCTAAGCGCCTTACATTGTAATTATTATTACCCCGGTCATTGGATTCAATTGCTTAAATAAATTCGTGTATAGGTTAGTATAGTAGTGGTAATAATATTAGTAGTTGTAGCAGAAGTAGTAGTAGTAGAATAATATTTTAATAATAATAATAATATAAGTATCATTATCATTATAATCGTCATTATTATCATTATTATTATAACTATTCTCATCATTATTAGTGTTTTTTTTATAAATATTATTACAATAGTAATATTGTTATTACCATTATTATCAGGCCTACTATCGGTATCATCAACATCATGATCATCAAGATCACCACCGTTATCAAAATAAGAAATAATCACCTATACACGACTTGATGTTGTTTAAAAAAAAGGGCACTTATCAGCGATGAAAGGAGGAAGGGATACATCTACGAAATTAATAGGGGCACTTGCCAAAGTATAAGGGGTACTTTCCCTATGTACAAACGGGCACTTCTTACTAAGCTAATAGAGCACTTTTCCTATGTAGAAAGGGGCACTTTTTGGGTACTTGAAAAAGTGGGGGAGGGGGCACTGTGCCCCCCTCCCTGGCCCATGGGAAGGCCACCTCTGGCCCGCTTAGCTGACGTAGTTTGAAATGGAGCGACACTAACATTCAGTATTATGATGTCGAAGAACTCACAAGAACAGAGCAAAAGGGGGAAGAAGAAATAATGAAAAGTTAACATCTAGTGCAGTGATCTTGGTTTGGAGATTTAGCTTCATCGAATGTTTCTTTTTTAATTGATCTGGGAAAAGGAAATGTGGAGGCAAAATGGTGTAGAATTGTCACTTCTGACGTTTATTTCTACCTCTGGCATTTTACCTCTGACTTTTTTTTATAATGAATCTTTACAACGCGTGTTTTTCACTGTCGAGGTCTTTCTTCTCTTTGGGGAAAAATATGGATATTTCCTTGCCTCTCAGCCTACTTAAAAATTGAATCAACATCTAATTGAGACAAATAAAAAATGCAAAGACATTCAATTGTTTCCATTAAATACCAGCTTTTTATTCAGAATAAATACAGTAAAATGTATTAAAGTTGAGCTTACAAATAACTTTACCAAAAATACCCTTAAGAGAGGGTCGAATATTCACGTCAAATGATAAAGTTTGACAGATGTATAAGGTGGGTTACTTAAACGATTTTAATAAAAGTATACTCAATTTATGAGGTCTACTTTTGAGATATTTTCCTTCTATATTTTGAATAGACCTATTGCCTAAGGCGAGTAAATTATATACACCCCCCTCCTGATGATCCTGTTATTGCCTATTTTAAGCACAAATTGCCTATTTATACTGGCCCCTCCGGGAGAAGAAAAAAAAATCCCCTCCAAAGTAGTAAAATTGACCCTTCTATTGCCATCTCGTACGCTGCGTATATACAGTGCATCCCAGAAAAGAACGAAACAGAGAATTATCGACGTTTTATCACAATTATAATTAATAAATGACACATATTTGTAAAGCTGAGATCCTCCTCTTTCCTTTGATGCAATTTATATGATGCATATTCACGCGTTAGTGATTAAAATCAATTTGATCTGAGCATTACAAATATGTGTCATTTATTAATTATAGTTGTGATTAAGTTATGGTAAAACATCGATAATTCTCGGTTTCGTTTTTTCTGGGACGAACTGTATATATAAGGGCACTTTTATTGATTTCAGGAACGTCCTCCCTGAAATCCCTGAAATGTGACTTAACTTGGTTTATACATTTGGGGCTGTGACAGAAGACTTCTCATTTTAAACGAAGTATACGTTTGCAATTGAATGAACGAAATAAAGTTATATGCTAGGGATAATAATGTAGTATGTCTTTCAACGAATAAATTCATTGATGTTTTTAATGCATTTTTATATGATACAATGCGAGCAATGTACTTTAACTTATTACTGAATTTTTAAATCTACTGTTTTTTATGCATTTTTATATAATACATTGTAAGCCAATTATTGTTAGTCTTTGGACTTTTTATTTGGTATATTTGTAATAAAACCGAAATTGAATTGAATTGAATTGAATTGATGATAAACAAATTCAAGATTTAAATAATGGTAAAATAGAGAGAGAGAGAGAGAGAGCATCAAATAAAAGCAAAAAATGGTTACAGAGACATAAACGATAAAAATTAAGAAAGCAAATCAGAATTCCCATGTCTGCAAACAGCATTGTAGTCTTCAAGACAATGTTGAATAGAATGCAGTATATAACATTGCTTTAAAAGTATAGATATTACCAACACAGATTTCGAACTAAAAATAAAAAGAAGGTCTCTATATATATTAACTGAAGTAAACCACAACCAGCAGGTTTTACCCTTTAAAAAATGAAACCCGCCGTGGTTTGTATGGCGGTTTGATGAGTAGAAGAAAAATTAAAACATAATCAGGTCCTTTGAACGTGTTGACGTTGGGTAGTTCAGTCCAATCTCGTTGTCATGTCAGCCTTGCCAAGCCATTAGCGATCCCCTGAAAAAGAGAATAATTATGAAAAAATGTTAAACTTAAACTTATGTGTATTTGACTTTCTTTCGTGACCTAATTAAAGGGCAAGTCCACTTAAAAAAAACCCAACTTACTTTCAATAAAAGCAGAAAAATCAGACAAACCAATCAAAACAAAGTTTGAGCAAAATCGGATAAATAATAAAAAAGTTATGAATTTTAATGACATGAACAACTTTGAAAATCACAAGACAAATTGGGAACTCACTCATGAGTCTGTGACCTCATTACTTCACTATCCACTAATTGTTTTCTCATATTGATAATATAAATTTCGAATTTTCCCCCTAAAAATCCTTTTTGCGCACACCAGCATCCAAGTTATATTGATAATATATAGAGTAATTTTTTTCATTTAAATCATGAAAAATGTAAATTTTGATAAAATATTTATATAAAAATCAATGATTATGAATATACAACATTTAGAAAATAGTTTCAATTCTTGAAAGTTCATGAAAGATTTTGTGAAATGTCATGCACGCAATATCATATAACCTGGGTAAAAGGCATGGGGAAATCAAGTTTCTGGGGATAAAAAGGGAAATCAAAAATACATAACGCAATTGATAAATAGTGAGGCAATGACGTCACAAGCTAATAACCAAATTGGCAATTTGAGTGATTTTCTTAGTTCGATAGTTTTTAATACTAAAATTCATAGCTTCCTTATTAGTTATTTGATTTTACTCATTTTGGGGGCTCTGTTTCCCTTTTTTTTTGGTGCATGTATTAAAGTAAATTATTTTTGGACTGGACTAAGCATTTAATAGTCGTATGCCCACAGTTATACAATTTTCTCACAACTGCACATGAAGTGTCAATTTGTACAGACATGGCGCATTATAAATGTTCACTATTATCATTATTATAAATATAACGCATCGAATTCATCCACCACGCATTACAACAATATTATTTAAAGGCAAGTTAACATCGGTGGTAAGTTTGATGAAATCGAGCCGAGTGAAAATGGGTAGCTTTATTTTTTTCTCCTGTTTGAAATAGAATCCACCACTCTCTTTCTTCGTCTATTTAGTATCTAATATCTCCTTTTCTGTTGCTTCAGGCGCGGATCCAGGATTTTCCAATAGGGGGGGGGGGCCGGAAATTTGAATATTGCGCAGACCGTTTTTCCACCCAACATACCAATACTAAAAAGGTCATATTAGAAGCACCATACCGGTACAATTTTTGACATTTTCATTGGGGGGGGGGGGGGGGGGGGCTATAGCCTCTTGCCCGAAAAGTAATTTTCTGGTTTCAAAATTCGAAATAGTGAGCGAAGCGAGCGAGCAACAATTTAAGCATAATATGTATTTTGTGTCAAAGTGTTATTTATCACCCAAATAAACGAGAAAAGATATCAAAAACTCATATTCGGGCAGCCCGCTGTCCCCTGCCTCCCCCTATTACGCGTAAAGCTCGGAAGCTTTGACCTTTCCTTAATTGTTAGAGAAAGAAGACGATTTGTTGTACCATTCTCGACTCTTAATCTTTGTCTGAATTCAGTTTCCTCCAACCCGCGCGAAGCGCGGAAGCTTTGGCCTTTCATTAATTATTAGAGAAACAAGAAGATTTGTTGAACCATTCTCGACTCTTATAACTTGACTGAATTCAGCCCCCCCTCCTGCGCGAAGCACGGAAACTTTGGCCTTTCATAATTGGAAATAATTGAAATTATTAGAGAAAGATGATTCGTTGTTCCATTTTCGACTCTTAATCCTTCTCTCAATTGAGTCCCCCCCCCCCCCTGCGCGAATCGCGGAAGCTTTGACGTTTCATTAAATTATAAGGGAAAGGAGACGATTCTTTGTACTATTCTCGACTCTTAATCCTTGTCTGCATTCAGTTTTTCCCCCGCCCGCGCGTAGCGCGTAAGCTTTGACGGTTTATTAAATTATTAGAGGAGGAAGACGAATCGTTGTACCATTCTCGTCTCTTAATCCTTGTTTGAATTCAGTTTTCCCCCACCAGCGCGAAGCGTGGAAGCTTTAACGTTTCATTAAATTATAAGAGAAAGGAGACGATTCTTTGTACTATTCTCGACTCTTAATCCTTGTCTGAATTCAGTTTTCCCCCGCCCGCGCGTAGCGCGTAAGCTTTGACGGTTTATTAAATTATTAGAGGAAGAAGACGAATCGTTGTACCATTCTCGTCTCTTAATCCTTGTTTGAATTCAGTTTTCCCCCTCCAGCGCGAAGGGCGGAAGCTTTGACGTTTCATAATTTAATGAAATTATTAGAGAAAGAAGATGATTCGTTGTTCCATTTTCGACTCTTAATCCTTGTCTGAATTCAGTTTCCTCCAGCCCGCGCGAAGCGCGGAAGCTTTGGCCTTTCATTAATTATTAGAGAAACAAGAAGATTTGTTGAACCATTCTCGACTCTTATTACTTGACTGAATTCAGCCCCCCCTCCCGCGCGAAGCACGGAAACTTTGGCCTTTCATAATTGAAAATAATTGAAATTATTAGAGAAAGATGATTCGTTGTTCCATTTTCGACTCTTAATCCTTCTCTCAATTGAGTCCCCCCCCCCCCGCGCGAATCGCGGAAGCTTTGACGTTTCATTAAATTATACGGGAAAGGAGACGATTCTTTGTACTATTCTCGACTCTTAATCCTTGTCTGAATTCAGTTTCCTCCAGCCCGCGCAAAGCGCGGAAGCTTTGGCCTTTCATTAATTATTAGAGAAACAAGAAGATTTGTTGAACCATTCTCGACCCTTATTTCTTGACTGAATTCAGCCCCCCCTCCAGCGCGAAGGGCGGAAGCTTTGACATTTCATAATTTAATGAAATTATTAGAGAAAGAAGATGATTCGTTGTTCCACTTTCGACTCTTAATCCTTGTCTGTATTCAGTTTCCTCCAGCCCGCGCGAAGCGCGGAAGCTTTGGCCTTTCATTAATTATTAGAGAAAAAAGAAGATTTGTTGTACCATTCTCGACTCTTATTACTTGACTAAATTCAGCCCGCCTCCCTCCCGTGCGAAGCACGGAAGCTTTGGCCTTTCATAGTTTAATGAAATTATTAGAGAAAGAAGATGATTCGTTGTTCCACTTTCGACTCTTTATCCTTGTCTGAATTGAGTGCACCCCCCTCCCGCGCGAAGCGCGGAAGCTTTGTCGTTTCATTAAATTATAAGGGCAAGGAGACGATTCTTTGTACCATTCTCGACTCTTAATCCTTGTCTGAATTCAGTTTTTTTACCCGCCCGCGCGTAGCGCGTAAGCTTTGCCAGTTCATTACATTATTAGAGGAAGAAGACGAATCGTTGTACCATTCTCGTCTCTGAATCCTTGTTTGAATTCAGTTTTCCCCTCCCGCGCGAAGCGCGAAATCTTTGACGTTTCATTAAATTATAAGAGAAAGAAGATGATTCGTTGTTCCATTCTCGTCTTTAAATCCTTAGCTGAATTCAGTTTTCCCCTTCCCGCGCGTAACGCGTAAACTTCTGACGTTTCATTAAATTATTAGACAAAGAAGACGATTCGTTTTACCATTCCTTGTCTGATTTCAGTTGCCCCCCTTCCGAGCGAAGCGCGGAAACTTTGACATTTCATTAAATTATTAGAGAAAGAAAAACAATTCGTTGTACCGTTCTCGACTTGTCAGAATTTTCAATTTTTTGTCTTTGTCTGCTCCTTTTTCGTCCTATGTCCTCTTACTGCCCTTACCGCCCCTGGCTACGCGCCTGCTTTAAATTGAAAATGAAACAATCATGATTGTGATAGCACACAATTAGGTTAGTAGAAATGAAAGGGAAAAAAGATCTATTACACCAACCATGGATAAATCACGGCCGGGAGCGTCATATCATAGTTTTGTGTTATCGGGCGAGGGCCGGGGCGTAGCGACCAAGCGAGATTTTGCAACGTTGAAATTATGCATTCTAGAAAATTCCGCTATATTTCTTTCTAGCTATATTTCTAAATTTCCTGGGGGACGTGTCTCTCTATCGGACCCATGCAGGATTGCCGCCCCTGTCCATGATTACTACCAACATGAGTTCAAATACAAGCACAAGCGAGTTGGTATGAGCTGAATCCAAAATAATGAAGGGAAAATAGGAGTTATGAAGCGGCCCTACCGTTAATTTAAAATGTTGAGTATATAGCTTCTATTTAAAAGACATCCAAAATATTGTGCCCTTTTCAAATTTCTCACTAAAGAGTGATGACCTTTGCAGCGCAGGGGCTGTTTTTTACTTTTAACTTTGAATCCGCGGCCCGAGATTTTATACGGCCGGCCCGGCCCCCTTTATTCAATAACGTTTGCCAAGCCTTCTGGAATGACCCCAAATCTCCCGATTACAGTTTTTCCTTATCGTCGTTACTGTCACTTAGCGCCATATCCTTGTCTTCCCCCCTTTCTCACCGACTTTTCTTCCCCCCCCCCCCCCCACTCTGTATAGGGTACGCACATGTATGTTTCCTCTCTTTGAAAGCACCTCCGGTGTAAGTCAGTACGGGCCGGCCCGGATTTTTGTGTATTACGGGCCGGACTTTGTTGCGTGAAAAGTAACTCTTTATCGGAAATTTTGGGAACACAAATTCGGTCCCTCCGACCCCGGAGTGGGAGAGAGAGAGAGAGAGGGGGGGGGGGGAGTTGGGCTTTCTTCTTTATCTTTTCTTTTCTCTTTTCTCTTTTCTCTTCTCTTCCCTTTTCTTTTCCCTTCTCCTTTCTTTTCTCTTCTCCTTTTTGTCTCGCCTGCGTAGCAAAAAGCGAGACATAGGCGCCGCTTTTCCGGTGACGGCGGCGACGGCGACGGCGACGGCGGCGTCAACATCAAAAACTTAACCTAAGGTTAAGTTTTTGAATTTTTGATATAATTTTTAAAGTATAGGTTCTTAGTCAATTAAACTTTGACTATAGGGTAATCAAGTATCCCCAATCATGTGAGTAGAATTTCAGATCACAAAGTCAAGGTCAAAGGTCATTTCAGGTCAACAGACTTGGACTATGTTGTAGCATCATCATCGAAAACTTAACCTAAGGTTAAGTTTTTGAATTTTTGATATAATTTTGAAAGTATAAGTTCTTAGTCAATGAAACTTGGACTATAGGGTTATCAAATCTCCCCAATCATGTGAGTAGAATTTCAGGTCACTAAATTAAGGTCAAATGTCATTTAAGGTCAACAAACTTGGACTTTGTTGTGGCATCAACATCAAGATTTTCAAAATGCTTCTTCTTCGTTATTTTTCAACCGATTTTGATTCTGATTGTTTCATATGATAGGGCTAGGAGGGGGGGGGGGGGGTTTAAAACTTCTAAACAGAATCGTGAAATTCATTATCTATGCTAATTTATGCAAATTTATTCAAAATCACAAAAAATGCTTCTTCTCCTTCATTTCTCGACCGATTTGGATTTGGTTTGCTTTATCTGGTAGAGCTAACTTTGGTACACTAAACTTCTACACCAAATTTTGAAATTGTTCTCCATTAATTAATAATGGTAATTTATGCAAATTTATTCCAAAAATAACAAAAATTGCTTCTTCTCCCTCATTTCTTGACCGATTTTGATTTGGTTTGTCTTATCTAGTAGAGCTAAATTTGGAACACTAGAATTCTACACAGAATTGTGAGATTTTGCTCCATTGATTATTTATGGTACTTTATGCAAATGAAATGAAATTATGTCCCTTCCAGGGCATCAAATTTTTATTTTTTGACCAGTTCAAAAGTGTACCACATAAAATTTAGGATATTTGTTGTTGCGAGATGCGGATGAGCGCTACGTCATTGACATTCTGGTTTATCATATTGAATTGTATTATGCAGGCGAGACCGCCGAGGGCGTTTCCCTTGTTTCTTCTCCTCTTCTCCTTTCTTTTTTTCTCTTCTTTTCTTCCTTTTTTTTGCGCCGCCAATAGGGGGGGCCGCGGCCGTTTCGGCCCCCCCCCCCTGGATCCCCCACTGTGCTTGCAGTAATTATCTTTCCAGAAACACACCCTTCCTTTTCATTGACCTAGTACTGTTTATTATCGTGCAATATACTAACACTGAGAGCAGTGAGGTAATTGGATGCAATGCTAAATAAATGCATTTAACAGTCATTTATAGGCTTTTGTTTTACAATTTTATAATCTATTTCATGTACCTATTACTTTCTATTGTACATGCTTTCTCATTACTGCAACTTGTATAAATATTGTATTTTACTTGCAGTGTAGAAACATGTACAATTCAGACTACCAGACATGTTTAAAGGGGAAGTCCACTCTGATAATGTATTGGTTTTAATAAAAGCAGTTTTAATAGAAGCAGAAAAAATGAAAGAAACAGGTCAGTGAAAGTTTGAGCAAAAACCGATTAGAAATAGGACAGTTATTAATTGTTGCAGGTGCGATCAATCGAATACAAATTGACAACTATGTGACGTAGCTTGTGAGTTCTCCTCCAATTTTCCCTGTTTGTAGTAGGTCCACGGTTGTACTAAAACACTTCCAAAAATTATATTTTCCCTTTAGGAAATTTTCAATCATAAATTTACCCTCAATATAATTATTGCAAATATGTCTTTATACAACCCCCGTATGACAATTAACATTCTGTCACCAATTACTAAGAAAATGAAAGTTTATGAAATTTTCTGTACAGTGAGAATTGAAGAGGAGCTCGCATGATACGTCATAGTGTTGCCAATTCGTTTCCCACTGATGACACCTTCAAAAATTCATAACTTTTCTAATTTAATCTGATATTGCCTAAATTGTCACTAATCTATTTCTTTCATTTTTCCGCTTTTATTAATACCAACTCAATCCCAGGGTTGACTTCCCCTATAAATAAATTTTGATTGAATTGCATTGAACTGAATTGAATACTTACAGGTGCAAAGATTATTCTCGCAGCTATATGTATCTCCTTCACTATCAGGGCAACTAGAACAGGGCACACCTGATTCGTATGGGCGTTGGGTTTCGTCACCACTGGAAGATAGTAAAAGAACCATTCAATATCAAGACTTCAACTCATAACAAGTTTTATTTAATAATCCCATCATTCTTCACTATTTTTAATTGAAACTTCTTAAGCTGTGGTTGAAATTTATGAATAAAATGCATTGTACTTTTTTCTTGGGGGCAGAGAAGGGGGATTTTATTTTTTAGTTTCGTTTTCTGTTCTTAATGTATAGAATTGTATGTATAGCCTCAATTTTTTTTAATTTTTTCATATTTTGCACATTACGATACATGTTTACTTTACATTAAGTTTTTTTTCTTTTTTTCTGATGTGTTGACGATAAATTATCATTCTTTTCCTTAAACTATCTCCTGTTTCTCCGATATATATTTTCACAGGTATAGAGAGATAGATATGAAATGATTATGACTATGATTTAACAATACATAAGTACAGTCATGTACTCATTTTTTTGTATACAGTTTGTTGCACTTGTTTGTAATGTTGAATGCACTATCTGACGAAATGAATTGAAACCGGTTATAGTGAATTGAAACTCACAAGAATCTTTATTCAATTAAAAAAAATATATTTCTATAACCATGACGGGCGAATTTCCATAATAATTTATTTGTATATATATACATATATGAGTATGTCTCTATATGGGTCCTAACAGCCCGCCTACCGGACAGATCGACCCTGGGCAACTTGAATGGGTCTAGCTGTCCAGGGTAGGGTTTCACTCGATCCGAACAACTCGACCAACTTTGTTTTCTCATGATTTTATGAACTAAAGTCATTCATTTCACTCTGAGTTGTCATGAAAGTGGTAAAGTACATTCACACGGATATCGTTAAAGTTGCTTTATATAGAATGACACAAAAACATATAAAAGAACAGTTTCTTACCTTAAATCTAATAAAAACCTATTAAAAGCTGTTGGATTTCATACATTTTTTTCCTTTTTTTTCCTTTTTTTTTTTATTGATTCCAATCAATACAAATTAATTTTTAGAAATAAAGTACAGTTGTTTTTCCTTGACATGAATTCAAAACATTTACATTACATAGATTGTAGAATTGATGAAAACAAATATGAAATCAGTTGTAACATAAAACAAATAACCCCCTCCAACCAAACACACTACTACCCCCCCCCCCCCCCCCCCCCATCATGCGACACACACACCACCCGACCACACTTCCACCACACACTGTTCCTAGCCCCCTCAGAATACCCCACATCGGAGCGACAGACAAACAGAAACAATCTATTCAAAACATTTAAAACAAAATCATTTATGCGAGGCTACAATAGCCACAATAGTCCAGTGTAAAAAGTTCATGAAAACTTTACTTGTTCTCACTTCTGTAAATGTAAGGCCAATTTACCTGCCCTCCCTGCAATATTCCTTTCTTCTTCCCTAAATTCTAACAGTTCTTTTTGAAACTCCCTCAAAGTCAATATTACGGACTTTCCCCTGCATCTATATATCCAATATTTCAATGCAAAAATAATGGTATTAACATTTTTTATTCGTGGGGAGTTACCGGACAAACCTAAATGAATATCTATCCAGTCGATAGACCTTAATTCCCATAGCTCAAACTTAGCTATTACATTTTGCCATAATCTTTGAACATGTACACACTCCCAGAACAAGTGTTAATATGTTTCTATCTTTTGCTTACAAAATGAGCACAAGTTATCTACAACAAAGCCGAATCTGAATAAATGTTCTCTAGTATATATTGCTCCATGAAGCAGTTTATACTGAATTTCTCTTAGTCTGTTAACAAGAGTAACTTTCCTAGGCCTAGTAAATATCTCCCTACATACCTTATTTGAAAAATCTGAAAATTCCCGTCCATCATGAATCTTCAAGACAAATAAATTGTGTAACTTCTCTATAAAATATTCATAAACATTCCTCGATAATACATCTCTGAGGAGCTTCACAGTACTGTTAAACTGCTTTAAAAAAATCATACTCTTTTACATCCACTAAACTCCAGTTATCCTTTCAAATTATAAAAATATGATATTGCCCGCATGCCATTTTCAGCAAAAATATCTTGACTTAAAATTATATTGCGTGTAAACAACTCCTCATCAAAAATCATTTTCTTTTTCAATAAGAAATCTTTATTGTTAAAAATAATTGGATTATTCTTTTCTTCAAAATTCCTACAACCTCCTAACTCACAAACACAAACACACGCACACACACGCACGCACCCGCACACACACACACGCACACACACACGCATACATATACATATATATATATATATATATATGAATACAAGTACGCTATGATGAAGATAGAGGAGTTCATCCGCTTTAAATCCAACCGTTTTTATTAGGTTACGTGACCTGATAAACTGTTGGTTTTAAAGCATTAATCTTCTCTATCTTCATCATATATTGCGAACATGTATCCAAATATAATGTACAAAACCTTGTTTAACAGTGTATGCGTTTGTGTGCGTGCGTGTGTATGTGTCAATATCCCCGAGAAAAATGGGAACAATGATCATGCCATGATGACAATAAATTACCTGGGACTGTACATACAGTAGACAAATTTGACTTTCATACAATCAGCCATGCCACATCCAACGAAAGAAGTTGTAGCCCGCACCATCTGTTTGTACCAAAATGAAACATAATATATATATATATATATATATACACAAGGATAATGATAATAATAATGATAATTAAAATAATAATATTATTAACTTTTGATTTAATGTTTTCGTTACTGAAGAATAAAAGGCGGACTGGTTGAATTTGGGCCTTTGTTGAATACTTTTAGATAGAAGTTGCATTTTGTCACATTTTCAGGAAACATAAATAAGGAAGAAAAAAAAAGAAAAAAAATCACAAACTTGAAAATGACCAAACTTGGTACGGGTATGAATAATTTAGTTGTTAATTGTATGTATTGTCAATGGCTAGAACAGGTTTTGAGCTTTGAAACTTACCTGAGTGTAATAATAACATTTATCGTTAATACAGGTGTTGTCTTCAAAGGTATAATCTTCATTATTCCACTCATCCAATACGTCCAAAAAATCCGATTCGTCGTATATAACGTCGAAGCTCCTGCCTAAACTACATGCACTCCATTCTGTTGAAGAAGGGCGGTTGCGTCTGAGGTCGCAATGGTCAACCCACGACTGCGACATCCTGGCAATCTCATCGTCCCATTGCTGTAATAAGAGAACGAGGCAATCATATGATACTTTTGTATTTCATTTATGTCGCTTCATTGAAAGTAAATTAGTTTTTTTGTTAAAGTCCAACGATTGATACATACAAAGGGTACTTGGTTGCATTGCTCAAAATTATATAAAAGAATAAATTCACACGAACTGACAAATTAAGAAATGAAAATGGGATAAGAAGTGAAGAAAAATTGTTCAACATATTACACTTCAAAATGATAATAAACTATATAGACATCGAAACTGTTACAGGTAAATTTTCCTTTTGGCTGCGTTCAAAGAACTTTAAAATCATTATTCCAGCCATCCTGATGAAACTCTTGCATAATGATAATAATAATAAACAAATATTTTCATAATAAAGTAAGAACAGAAAAAGAGAAACGGAAAGAGAGAAACTGGGGAAGATCGTCAAAAAAGAGAAGAAAGGATCTGTTGAAAAAAGGAAAATCATAAGAGTGCCATTTTATTTGCTCATAGTATATACATTCATGAAGATAGCACTGACTTTAGGCAATCGATAAAAATGAATATGCGAGTGCTGTTTTCGTTGACTTAAAAAAGCTTTTGAACGGTAAATTGCGATATTTGGATTACGAGGCTTATAAAAAAAGGAATTACTGGTATCCCTTGTGCATGTTTGAAAAGTTATATGACAGGCATAGTATGTCAGGTATTTGTAAATTCCGAGCTTTCATTTGAATCTGTTATAACCTGTGGAGTCCCAAACGGGTTCATAGTCTGTTATCTCTGCTTTTTGTTATTTATATAAACTAATTAGTTAAATGTGTAAAATCGTGCTAAGTCCAATTACATGCCGATGACACTGTCCTGTATTTTTCTTACCTTTCAATATAATAAGTGAACTTGCATTTAAAGGTAAAGGCTAGTTTTGGAAACGCCCCCTCTCAAATAATAAAATGGAAGCTCTTATTACCAATGATGGGAAAGAATTTCAGTCACACCGCAGCGCTCGCCAAATCGCCCGTATTTATTCAAGTCGTATGCACGTTTTTGCTCCTCATGAATACGTAATAAGCAAAAACATGGCACAGTTATCATCTTTCTGCTATGCTCAGGATTCATTTAATGACATTGAATTCGTCATGAATATTGAGCCAGAACTATAAACATTATAATGTACTATTCAATAAATAGTGAGTGAAGTTTTAAAATGTGAAAAAAACACCAACAAAAACTTGCAACAAAAAATATTTGAAGAGTCGGATATACACGTTAAATAACCATTTTTATCGGGGGTGCATCTCGCTGAATTTTGGCTTCCCACATAATGTAGATATTTTCCTAACATAATATCATACTTCCTGTCAATGTTTGTTTCAATACTAGTCAGGAACTAGCAAAGTAGTAGCTGATGCATAATAGACTCCGGCGGAAAATAAGACATGGCCGATCGACGAGCGTTTCGCAACGAGATCAACCGGGGGATACCACGTTATATATAGCATTGCGTCGATTCGCAGGAATTTAAACAGGACTTTCTTTTGGTAATTCCCAGACATTCGATGATGGTAATATTTTATTTCATAATTCTTTTGTCAATTGCGTTACTCCAGTTCATGTGTATTCCTGGAAATAAAATATTACAAAATTCTTTCCCTCATTCTCTTTTCTGTTTGATTTTGTTTTAAAGTGACCCGCGGAATATATATATATCTGAAAATTTATTTTCGGGGTTTGTTTGTGTGTAATCTGACCCTCGGATAGAAATATTAGTGTGCGGTTGGCAGAAGGGCTCAAATGAAACTTGTAGAATTCTAATTTTCATCTTCAACATTATTATCACAATCACAATCGTCATCGCCATCACAATCATTATCATCATCACCATAGCCATCATCGCCGTTACCACCTACATCATCATCACCACCATCAGCATTGCCTTTAAGAACATCATCGCCATCGTCACTATAATCATCGTCATCATGATCACTGTCATCATTATCATCACCATAGCCATCATAATCAACGTCATCATTATCATCATCACCATATCCATCATGATCGCCATCACCACTGACATCACCACTGCCATCATAATCACCGTCATCATTATCATCATCACCATAGCCATCATCTCCACCGTCGCCATCACCACCATCACAAAATTCACCAACATATCAAAATATGTCAATACTTGACTATTTATATTATGTTTACCCTGTGTAGGTACCATTTCTGGATGAAATACAAATCTGCAAAAAATATCTTTTAAAAAGAATGTTTTTCTTTTGTGGGGGTGGGGGGGGGGGGGGCTATTATTTAACAGGTCTGGGTTATTCACATTTCTTAATCAAAATTCATGCCAACTAACCCAGAAGAAAACCTGGTCTGGTTTCTTCTGAATAGCCTAGTAAACGGACAAAAAATGTATTATTTAACACTACAACAAATAACAAATGCGATAGGACTAGGAATAAAATTTGCATTTTCTAATATTTATATTTTATTCATAAACTGACTTTGACATTTATGTTGAGACCATCACACGCATAAAATGTGTCGCTGAGAATAAAAGTATTATTAGAGTTAAATATATTAGTTAAATATTGTTAAATTGTTGTATAAAGGTGACAGTTCAGTCAGTTTTCTATTAATATAATAAATGCTTTGTTTGTGTGAAGCTCCGGAATCCCACCTTGGAACATTGGAAGTATCAGAGATTTTTGTTTTATTGAAAGGAATAAGCTGAACAAAATCCTTCTCGTCCTTTTCCCAAACTCCCTGTTCAAGATTGTCTGTTCCAACGTGAATCAAAACTGCAGTTGAGTCTTCAAATAAATAACCAGTAAAACAAACAAAGGCATGGAGTGCAGCAAATGTTGATCCAGGAATGCAATGGAGCCTGATGTGTGATGTCTCTCAATGTCCCGCAAGCTTCGATGGTTGAGTGCGTCTGCAGAAAAACAACAAAAAATGATAAGAAGAATGAAATGGCTTAGTTCAATGTATGGGGATTTGAAAAGATCTTATCAAAGTAGCTAGCCATTTATGGTAGACAAAACTGGCTTGCTTTCAAATTTATTATTTTAAATGAAAACAAATTACAGGTGTCAGATTCATGAAGTTTTCCCTTCATTTTTCAAGATGTGCACAAGTTCTAAAATGTAAGTATTTACCTTTGGCTTTTTGTTTTAATTCTGCTCTGTTCATAATCATAATATTAATATATAGGTCGCACAAGGAGGTGCTGCTTATTTCTGTGGCTGGCTGTAACTTGAGTTGAGCAGAAGGCAGAACCAAAGTTTGAGAATTCCAAATTAATATAATTAATTATCCTGTAAGTAATTTGTCATTCTAATAAGTATTATCCAGCTCAGCTCAGCTCACTCGCTCAGCTCAGCTCAGGATTCCAGTACAATTCGATCAGTTATCAAACCCCTTCATTACTAGTATAAACATGTTTAAACCCTTGTAAATATACATTTAAAACATATCATTTGATCTAGATTTATAATGAATAGTAATGACTAATGAGCAGTCGATTTATTTACATTGCTGTCGATTTGCGACAACAAAAACTAAAAAGCTGACAAAAATATATACACATGGGACTACATAAAGTCCTGCTATATGCGCCACACAATGGCACAGCGTGCAGCGACACACAAGAAACCCCGCCATTCCTGACTAAAAGGCCGTAGCCATAGCAATTCCCCGCGGTTTCTAATCATTTTCCGTCTACTTCCGGTAGATTTCCAAAATATAGTCCAATAATTTGGGCATATTTCTTATTCAAACATAACTTGCATCTACGTGTTTTCAACATCAAATGATGGACTGGTTATCAAAAATTCGAAATAATATTATCAATACCAGTCAGGAACAAGCAAAATACGACACTATGTAATGGTTAATTTCCGAGGACTAAAAAACGCTCTTTTTGTTTGCGATAAAAGTAAGCACAAATTGTAACAAATTTGGGCAAATTTGGTGTCAAAGAACAGCGAAAATTTCAGAGATTGACTTACCCCACGATTCCGCCATGATGAATTGCACTGTAAGCCATACGAGGGCGAGAAAATGATGCTACCAAAATCCCGTGGCTGGTCTCGTGTTTTACGAACGGGAATCTGAATAAAAATTGCCGCACAGCCTCATTATCGCGCACGCTGCGGTCTGACTGATTTGTTTTGACTAATACGTGATCACACAAATTTTGCCGAGAAACCGTCTACTAATTGATATATTTGGTAAATTATTATATTTATTTAGACCTGATAGATATACAATGCACGTGCCGCTTACGTGTGGGGATAGTCCCATATACATCTTTCTACGTACAGTGCTTGTAACTTTATCAAGACTGGGCCAAATTTCTTATCATTTTGATGATTTCAGAACCTTGCAGCATATGCTAGATGATCAACCTTTTCTGATCGATTCCACAACGTTTCTTTCACAATGCAATCGCATGACCATAACTGGTCTTTATCTTAAATTCAGACCTAGAAAAAGTTTATAATTGCATGTTAAAAAATAAGTTAAGTGTCAATGGTCAGAAAACTGTATTGTATCCTTTTAGGAAGCAACCATAATGATGTCAAAGCAAACTACATAACACTCCTTTAAATCAAGTTCGGCATTTAAGTACCTTGGTCTGGTATGTGATGAAAATATAAATAGGAGGTTGCATATTGAAACTATTTTGAAAATGATTGGGAAAATGGTAAGCTTTCTTGAAAGATTAAGACGTTCGTTAAATGAGTTTTCTTTTAAATTAATTTACAAAATAATCACTAATTCTTCCTCAATCTGATTATGGTGATATTATTTTATAACTCAGCTTTCAAGAAATATACGGATAAACTACAAATATCACAAAATATTAAGAATGAAACCTGAATCCCATGTTTTGGTTCTGTAGTTACAAACGCCTTAATAGACTGGCAATTCTTAGTAAAAAGAAGACATGATCACTTTGTTGTAATAACATATAAAATATTGAATAACTTAATCCCTGCCTAATTAGAAAAATAAATTTGAGCCTGTAACTCACCCCTATCCTTCCCGCTTCGGAAATTAATATACGATTACCAAAGCCACCGTAAAACGACATCCACCCCCTCCCCGATTATTTGTATTGCATGTCTCATTTTGTTTTTCTTTGAACTTTGTTAAATTATATTTTACTGTTCGTATATTGTGTACTATGCGTTGCTTTGGAACTCTCTGAAAACCAACGACAGCATGTTGCCATTGCTGAGCAGGGCTATCCACGACCGTATGTATTATAATGTAATGGGTACTTGTCAATTGCTGGGGTTGTAATAACTATATAGGGTCCTATACAATGCGTCCCAGAAAAAACGAAACCGAGAATTATCGATGTTTTATCATAACTTAATCACAATTATAATTAATAAACGACACATATTTGTAAAGCTTAGATCCTCCTCTTTCATTTGATGGAACTCATATGATGCATATTACACGCATGAGTGATCAAAATGAATTTGAAGAGAGGAAACCAAAAAGTCATTTGGCGGACGGTATCTGAATTTCAAAAAGAAAATCACATTTCTAAAAAGTTGAGTTTCTGCCCTTTCATATGACACCTCAGTCAGGAAAGAGCTAGGAATATTATTTGTCTGCGGTACGATTGTATAGCAGACAAATGTTGTTTGTATCGTTAATGAATGCATACTTATGTTGGGTCCGGGGCTGTGCCCCGATGGAATGTAATTTGCATAGGCAGCTCGTACAGGTGTGCGAGCTAATTCTGCCACGGAGACCAGAGCGTGGCATGAATTAGTGTGTAATCAGGCGCGGATCCAGGGGGGGGGCCGAGCGGGCCTTGGCCCCCCCCCCCGCAAAAAAAAAAAAAAAAAAAAAAAAAAGAGAGAAGAAGGAAAAGAAGGGAGAAAGGGAAAAAGGAGAAAAAGGGAAAGAAAGAAGGGGAAGAAGAAAAGTAAAGGGGGAAGAAGTAGATCGGGGGGGGGGCCGAAAGGGCCTTGCCTCCCAGGCTGTTAACCCCCCCCCCCCCCCAATCAAAAAAAAAATAAGAGAGAGGGAAGGAAAGGGAAAGAAAAAAAGGAAAAGAGGAGATACTGGCGTACTGATAAAGGGGGGGGGGGGGGGCTTGGGGGAAATCAAATTCAAACGTGGTTTATTTCTGATTCCACAACGGTGTATTACAAATAATGCTGAAATGACATAATTTCCGAAATTTTTCCTCACTTTTTAGTAAATTATACGTTTGTATGTGTTTGTTGGAAAATAAAAAAATTCCTAAATTTACAACCAGGCAAAAAATATGATTCTTGAGATTCCTACATGTCAGGGCCCGAGGTACGGCGGGGATCGAGAGCCTCGAGGCATCAAAATATGCTCATCTGACCGTGATTAAATGCCTAAACCCCTAAACTTCCGGGGGCTTTGCCCCCTGGATTCCATCTAGGGCCCTACGGCGGGCCCTTAGATGATCATCTGACGGTAATTTAATGCCTAAAACCCCTGATTTTTTGGGGCTCCGCCCCATGGACCCCACGCCAAATAGTGACTTGCCAGTGTCACAAAATAATAAGGTATACACAAAAATATGCTCATCTGACCTTAATTAAACGCCTAAAACCCCTGAGCTTCCGGGGCCGGCTCCGCCGCCTCGACCCCACCTCTTTGAAATTCAGACAAGGATTAAAGAGTATAGAGAACGGTACAACGCATCGTTTTCTTTCTCTAATAATAAAACGTCAAAGCCTTGCGCAGGAGGGGAGGAGGGGGGGGGGGGGGGGGACTGAATTGAGACGAGGATTCAGAGGCGAGAACGGTAATACGAATCTTTAATTATTTGATGAAACGTAAAAGCTTATGCGCTTCGCGCGGGATGGAGGGGGAACTAAATTCCGATGAGGATTATTTTCGAGAACGGTAAAATGAATCGTCTTCTTCTCTAAGGATTAAATGAAACGTAAAAGCTTCCGCGCTTCGCACGGGAGGGGGGGGGGGAACTGAATTCAGACGAGGATTAAGAGTCGAGAACTGTACAACAAATCGTCTTCTTTCTCTAATGATTTAATGAAACGTAGAAGCTTCCGCGCTTCGCGCAGGAGGGGGAGGGGGAGGAACTGAATTTAGACAAGGATTAAGAGTCGAGAACTGTACAACGAATCGTCTTCTTCTCTAATGATTAAATGAAGATTAAAAGCTTCCGTGCTTCGCGCGGGAGGGGGGGGGGGAAACTGAAATCAGACGAGGATAAAGGGTCGAGAACGGTACAACAAATCGTCTTCTTTCTTTAATAGTTTAATAAAACGTCAAAGCTTCCGCGCTTCGCGAAGGAGGGGGAGGGGGAGGAACTGAATTTAGACAAGGATTAAGAGTCGAGAACTGTACAACGAATCGTCTTCTTTCTCTAATAATTTAATAAATCGTAAAATTTTCCGCGCTTCGCGCGGGAGGGAAAAACTAAATTCAAACGAGAATTATTTTTGAGAACGGTACAACGAATCGTCTTCTTCCTTTAATAGTTTAATAAAACGTCAAAGCTTCCGCGCTTCGCGCAGGAGGGGGAGGGGGGGGGGACTGAATTTAGACAAGGATTAAGAGTCGAGAACTGTACAACGACTCGTCTTCTTTCTCTAATAATTTAATAAATCGTAAAATTTTACGCGCTTCGCGCGGGAGGAGAAAAACTAAATTCAGACGAGAATTATTTTCGAGAACGGTACAACGAATCGTCTTCTTTCTCTAATAATATAATGAAACATCAAAGCCTGGGAGGGGGAAACTCGCCCCCCCCCCCCGCATTACGTCACTGTTGGTCACGATAACGTACCAATATTTGGCTCGCATAATTTCAAATTTGGGCCCCCCCCCCTAAGAAATCCTGGATCCGCGCCTGTGTGTAATTGAATCATTCTAGCTTGAACTTTCAACGAGACAACTACCGTGGAGCCGACCGAGGTTGTCGATCTCGTGAACGCGGACATGCGAGACAACCAAACGGGGCTGCCAGGCCAGCCCGATTCGTTGACTTCTAAGAAGTTTTTTGAGCAGCATATTAATAGCAATCAGAAATCCGGGATAGTGTTTTTCGTGTGGAAAAGCAGGGCATTGGAGAGTTGACGACAGAGAGGTCTTCATTTATCTTATTTACAATACAGAGCTAAGTAAAATTATCCTTACATTCACCCGTTTATAGGGGTTAATTTACCCAATAATCTTTCTGGAAAGGTTTGTCTCGAGAGAGAGATAGGTAAATTGGTAAAGAAGAAGTGTATAGGTAATACGAAAAGGAAAGATTCTCCATGTACTAAAACGGTGTGTTAAATGAGTTTCGTAACTGTCAAAATGGCACCTCCTGTAGGAGACTACGAGAAAATTAAGAAGGAATGTTGGGAAATGTATATATATATATATATATATATATATATATATATCAGTGCTGATAATTATGTCTGATATAATCGAACAAGGGTACAAATTACCCTTACATTCAACTCCTTTAGGGATTAATTTGTCCTATAATCTTTCTGCCAAAGACCATTCGAAAATTGTCGAGAGAGAGATGGGTAAATTGGTAGAGAAGGATTGTATAATTGAATAAGAGGAGGTTGAAAGAAAGTAAAGATCACCGTGCATTGGAGTGTGAAACGAGTTTCGTAGCTGGCATATTTCATGTAGGGAGACTACGAGAGAAGAAGGAATTGTTTTTGGGGAGAAAAAAGAAAATTGCTGATAGATACGTCTGTGATAGTAGAAAAAGGGTACAAGTTCCCTTTACATGTCATTTAAGTATTAAAAGAGTAGAAAATGTATTAACGAGGTTGAAGAGAGGCTTCTTGTAATACATTCTGTGTCCGATTACAAAGGACAGTGCAGATAAGTTCAAGATTGAAGGAGCGTCAATCTCAATTAATACAAAGAGAAATATAAAGATGTTTAATTGTGAAAGATGAAATGGGTGACTATGTGTTCACGTTCGGCCTGAAGTTGGTATTAATACCTTCACATTGGTATGGTCAATGAGGAAAGCCAAATGTTAGGCTTTGCCTGGGATTTCGGTGAAATAAGGTATGACGTTTTCAACGATTTACTTTTAGGCATTTCGGGGTATGTGTTCACTATTAAAAGTGATGAGATTTCTTGACAGTTATTGGCGTGGTCATGGTCATAATGCAATCATGTTTCTTGAACACG